GCGTCCCACATACAGCAACTAGAAGGATGTGCAGCTATGACATACAACTATCTACTGGGGCTTTGGGGAGAAAAATAAATAAATAAATAAAATCTTTAAATTATAAAAATAAATAAATAAATAAATGGTGTTGGGAAAACTGGACGGCCACATGCAGAAGAATGAAAGTAGACCATTATCTTACACTATACATAAAAATTAACTCAAAGTGGATTAAAGACTTTAATGTAAGACCTGAAACCATGAAACTTCCAGAAGAAAACATAGGCAGTACACTCTTCGACATCGGTCTGAGCAGCATATTTTCAAGTACTATGCCTGACTAGTGAAGGGAAACAAAAGAAAAAATAAACAAATGGGACTGTATCAAACTAAAAAGCTATACAGCAAAGGAAACCATCGACAAAACAAAAAGACAACCTAACAATTGGGAGAAGATATTTGCAAACCATATATCTGATAAGGAGTTAATATCCAAAATATATAAAGAACTCATACATCTCAACAACAAAAAAACTAACAACCCAATTAAAAAATGGGCAAAAGATCTGAACAGACATTTTTCCAAAGAAGATATACAGATGGCCAACAGGCACATGAAAAGATGTTCAACATCACTAATTAGGGAAATGCAAATCAAAACTACAATGAGATATCACCTCACTCCTGTCAGAATGGCTATAATTAACAAGATGGGAAATAACAAGTGTTACAGAGGATATGGAGAGAAGGGAACTCTCATACACTGCTGGTGGGAGTGCAAACTGGTGCAGCCACTATGGAAAACAGTATGGAGACTCCTCAAACAATTAAGAATAGAACTACCACATGGTCCAGCTATTCCACTTCTGAGTATTTATCCAAAGAATATGAAAACATGAATGCATAAAGATACATGCACCCCTATGTTCACTGCAGCATTATTCACAATATAAGACTTGGAAGCAACGTAGGTACCCATCAAAGGAAGAATGGATAAAGAAGATGTGGTATATATACACAATGGAATACTACTCAGCCATAAAAAAGGATGAAATCTGGCCATTTGTGACAACATGGACAGACCTTGAGGATATTATGCTGGGCGAAATAAGTCAGAGGGAGAAAGTGAAATACTGTATGATCTCACTCATAAATAGAAGATAAAAACAACAAACAAAGGGCCAGCACGGTGGTGTAGCGGTTAAGTGCATGTGTTCCGCTTCAGCGGCGCAGGGTTCGCAGGTTTGGATCCCAGGTGCGCACCAACATGCCGCTTGTCAAGCCATGCTGTGGCGGCATCCCACATAAAGTAGAGGAAGATGGGCACGGATGTTAGCCAAGGGCCAATCTTCCTCAGCAAAAAGAGGAGGATTGGCATCTGATGTTAGCTCAGGGCTGATCTTCCTCACAAAAAAAAAGAACAAACACATACACACATAGAGACAGAGATTGGACTGACGGTTACCAGAGGGGAAGCGGGGAGGGAAGAGAGGGAAACAGGTGATTAGGCACATGTGTATGGTGATGGATGGTAATTAGTCTCTGGGTGGTAAACATGATGTAATATACAAAGAAATCGAAATATAATGATGTACACCTGAAATTTATATAACGTTATAAACCAATGTTACCGCAATAAGAAAAAATTTAAAAAAATAATAAACTAATTCAACTTATGAAGTATCTTTGTAATTTAAATTAGCCAATGTGAGGGAATAAAAATTAGTTATGAACATAAATTTGAGAAAGTGTCATGAGTTTGTTGGAGAACAATCCCTTCAATACATACAATCACTTGAAATGAATTTAAACACATGAACAACACAAGTGGCTTTAGCACATGTAGCAATGGCAGCGACCCAGTGCCACCATCACCAAGACAGGCCCACATAACACTCTTAACATGAAAGGTTCTGTCTTGTCCAAGGACTGATCAAATCAGTTTAAAATGGGGGAAGAAAAGAGTCTCACAACCACGACCGAGCCATACCTTTCTTCACAGACACTAACAGAACCACAAATGAGACAACCTGGACAGCCACCACACAGGATCAGGCTGTTTGGAGGGTGAAGTGTGTGCCACTGGGCGCACGTGTAGATTTAAACGAGAAAACAGAGCAGACGTCCAAGCTGCCGCCAAGTCAGAGCTCTCTGACCATGTGTGGGCACCAGGCTGTCCCATGCACACTTGGAGTCCGAAGATTTTATTTTTCCAATGTTCCAGTTGAATAAACGGGGGAGTAAAATTACAGGTGTCAATCCTTAAGGTCCTCTGACCTCAGGTCAAGAGAGAGCAGGACATCAGTAGCTCATTAGACGGTGCAACTCTATGGAACAGTAAATTCTCTGTAGGCTGTTTTCAGTTACCTTCTGGATGTAGGACATACAGAGCCACTTTGTAAATCCTTACTAAATGTTCTTGGAGCCGGCTAGAGAACATGAAAAACCTTTTTCAAGCAGTCCAATTATTGCTATACATCAGAATTTTAAAAAAACATGACTGAAAACAAGCAAAAATGGCCCGTTCAGACCTCAGACAATCTTCCTTTTCGTAAACTTCATTCAGAGCATGTAAGGGCTCACAATAAATAGAAGCCAAAGGTCCTGTTGGTGATTTTGGTGTTTTGTCAACATCAAACCAGCAACATTATCCTCATTTATTCACAAATGCCACAGCCTCTGTCACTTCTGTCTTTCCATAGATACAAACCTAAAAGTTTCCAGAGTCTGACTGGATTCTGGACTAGGTGCTGTTTCAACAAAAATCCACTGATTCCTTCAAAGGTAGGGGTGAGCAGTCGCAACTGTAAACTCTGAAAAAAAAGGATACCAAGGATCAATCACACCAACACCACAGCACACCAAAGCAATGTGGGCTAATTCCCTGCTGCAAAATCTTTTCTAAAAGCTCAAATATTTATTTATTTGTAATGTTTACGTTGCCCTGAAACGTGAAGTAATAGTCTGAGCATTATTTCAAAGTTTTAATGCAACATAAAAAAAAAAAATAACATCAAAACTTCAAAAGCAAGTTAGCAAGTCAAAGAAATGCTGAACTAAAGGCATGGCGCACTGACTGCCATTCTGTGGCCCGAAGCTCACAACTCTCCTGCAGGACACAAGGAGCAGATGGGCTACCAAAGCAACTGCCCAGGACCTTTGCTCCCGACGTCGCCAGATGACTCCCTGTAGAACATTTCAGGTACTAGAGCAGATTACTAGTCTATATTTCTAAAGTTCTGTTTTCAAGATGAGTATTTTCTCACTTGACTGTTTTATGTTTTTAAGATCAATGGTCTAATTTAACTTTTTCTATCTCTATGTTTGCAATTTCTTCATCTGTTTTACTTATTTATTCATTCTTAATTTTGTCCTTAGCTCATCCGTGCTGGGCTGCTGCCATGGAGAAAAGTAACACCTTGCCAAATGTCCTTTGGTAAGGAGTACATTACATGTAATTTCCTGTTAGCAATAGGATGAAAATTCCTAGTCTATACAACCATTGTCCCATTTAATTAATACTACTATTCTTGGCTCAGCAATGACCAATAGTCATATAAGGGAGGGCCAGAGAGTTGTGGACTGGGCCCAGTAAACATCAGTGTGTCAGATATAGCAAAAAGAAAACTGCCATTCTTCAAAGTCAGCCCCAGTGCTTGTGTAAACCAGGTTATTTTAGTTTATTACTATTACAGCCACTGGTGAGATAATCTTAGACTTCCCAAGTATGCGTGTATTGCCTACTTCAGCCCTTATGTTCATAGAATAAGCACAGGGTAAGACTAAAGATTATAAATTATAATTTTCCTTCTCAATAGAACTAAAAAGACAAAAAAAAAGTATAATATATCTACAGTTGCCCTCAGGTTCAGGAAGGGTGGCCAGTAATCTAGAATATGATTAGAATTCAAATTGGTCCTCAAGCGATGGTAAAATATAACAACAATAATGAATTACGACCCAAATTGTGAGGGCTGAGAGCCTAAGAGACGGCTGAAAACAAAATCAACCAAAAAAGCAGCAGGACTCAGGGTCTTTCTTCTCGGGGCGGGGTTAACCCCAGGAGGGCCCGGCACGCGGCATCAGACACGACTAACGCGTCAGGAACGTGTCGAGCTACACGGTGTTCCGCTCGCACACGAACCCTCAGACGGCCCGCTCCCACTCGGAAGGCGCTGGGATGCACCCCGGGACCCGGTCCGCACGAGCCGGAGTCAAACAGTTTTCTGCTAGAAACGAGAGACATTCTCGCTGGACTCGATGTTGAAACGCCGAGAAACAGGCAGAAACATCAACGCAGGACATCGGGCTGGAGATCCAGGCTGCGCCTGTGCGGGTGCTTGCCCGGCTCTCCCCGGGCCGGGGCGGGCTCGGAGCACACCTGCAACCGCAGCACCTGGACGCCGCCGCCGAGGACCCCTGACCGGGGGTCCGGGCGGGGGCGCCGCTCCGGCCCCGGCCAGGCCCTGGGGTTACCTGCAGGGCTCGGCCTCCAGCCCCGGCGAGACCCATCGGAGGCGTGTGGACGAAGTACGGCCACCTCCTCCCGGCCCCGGCGGAGAGGCCCGGGCTCCAGCCACAGTAGGGGCGCCGCCACGCACCCGAGCCGGGACCCTGGCGGAGGGAACGCAGAAGCAGTAGCACGGCCACCATCTTGGCCCGGAAGCAGCGCCTGCGCCGCTGCGCCTCCGCGGGGCGCCTGCGTGATCGCGGCGTCCTCAGCGCCTGCGCGGTCCTGCCTGCTAAGGCTCGGTACCCTGCGCCCGGCCTCGGGAGACATACGGCCAGCTGGCACCACCTAGTCCGAGTAGGGTTCCCTAGTTGTTTATGGAGGTGGCGTCCCGCGCGGAGCGCCGCCTCTAGAGCTGCAGCCTGGCAGGCCCGGGAGGGAGGGTGTCGGGACCTGGCGCCCGGCCGCGTGCTGGGACCGCCCGCCGGCTCCGGGGAGGACTCGGCCGGGCCCAGAGTCACGAGGTAGAGCTAGGAGCCTGAGGGCAGCGGTCGCCGGATCCCGGCCCTGACCCCGCACCGCGACCCCAGCCCGGCCCGGTCTTGGCGCGCGATGAGGCCGCAGGCCTGTCTGAGTGCCCGCGTCGGTGGTCTGCACACGGAGGGCCGGACGTTCAGACGGCCGGGGGTGGGGGGGTTGGGGGGAGGCGAGCGCCTGGCGCAGGCAGGAGTCCGGGATCTGGTCCCGCAGAGGGCACCGCGGGCGGGTGACCGCCTCCTCCACCGGCCTTTTGTCCCGCAGACGCCGGCCCGTCTCCGGAGGTCACTCCAGCCCAGCCCGTGAGGGCTTACGGCCGGACACCCGAGAGCCGAAGGGCAGACCGGGTGGACGTGTGACAGAGACACTTATTTCTGTGCTTTTCCGTTTTCCCCGAATCCCCCACGACGAGTCCTGTAATAGTGACCGGTCTTCCCGAGTGCGCCTAGTGCCCGACTCCTACCGAACACCCATGTCATATTCACTGTGAAGTAAACACCTTTAATAGCTACATTACAGGCGACGAAACAGACCGAGAAAACGAAGAGTCACCTGCCAAAAGTTGCAGTGAAGGCGCAGGGCCGGGTTTCCGAGCTGGTCTGACCGGTTCCGGCCTGCGCTCCCCCACCACGCGCTGGTTACAACAGTCGTCTGGTGACTGGTACAGCCTGCCCCGCCCTCCCCTGACACCAGACAGGGTTGGGGACATTTTTTAAATGAAGTGTCCTGACTACTGGTCCTCAGCGCTCGGGCAGCGGTGCCTTGGCAAAGGCGCTTGCTTGTGGTTGCTTTGTGGAGAGACCCGCCCTAAGCCGGGGTTGCCCCGACCTACGCACTGAACGGCCTTGTCCTCTTGCAGTCTTCCTTCACAGTCAGTCCGTCCTCCCCAGCTCCTCCTCCAGGACTTTTCCTCTCGCTGGTTAAGTTGTCCCGCCCACTTTCTGCCTTCCGGCTGGCTCTGTCCTGCCGTCACTCAACCCAGGTCTGTCCCGTGACTGTGACTGTAACCCAACTTCCCTGTGGTTTCTTGCACCCTCTCAAAGCTTGTGCAACGCCGCCCTGACAGGAAGGGACCAGGCCCCTCACCCTCGCCCCTGTTCCCTCGTCACCCTGCTCAGAGGGTTTGTGACTCAAAGCATCTAACAAACTTGAATGTGTTTGGGAGGAGTACAAGATGCAATCCTGGGGCCGTCCTGTGGCTTAGCGGTTAAGTGCGTCTGTGAGTCCGCTGGGCTACTGGCAGCCGGGTTTGGATTCTGGGCGCGCACCAAGGCACGGGCGCGCACCAACGCACTGCTTGTCTGGCCATGCTGAGGCGGCGTCCTGCGTACAGCAACTAGAAGGATGTGCAACTATAACATACAACTATCTACTGGGGCTTCGGGGAGAAAAAGGGGGAAAAAGGAGGAGGATTGGCAATAGATGTTAGCTCAGGGCCGGTCTTCCTCAGCAAAAAAGAGGAGGATTGGCATGGATGTTAGCTCAGGGCTGATCTTCCTCACACACACAAAAAAGATGCAATCCTATAACTATTGTTTGAAATAAAATTGTTACTGTGGTCGAACCTCCTTGCCTGGTGATTCAGTTGGAAGCAGTGCAGGGCAATGACGAGCCTCTGGGGAAGGAACGCTGGCTTCTGTCCTTCTCAGCCTGTGACCTTGAGCAAGTTATGACCTTCTCCCAGCGTCAACTTTCTCATCAGTGAAATGGGGATAATAATTATCAGCAAACTGAGGCTGATATCTTCTCTGGGTTTCCCACAAGGTTGTTGTAAAGATAAAATGCAATAAAAGTATGTGAAAGTAATTCGTGAACCAGGAAACCAGCCCTTCATGTCTGGGAGTTATTCCTAGGACATTGTGGGAAATGAGGTTCTGGGAAAACAGACTATTGATTCATTTATTCAAACTCATTTATTTAACAAGTGTGCTCTGAAGGCTGGCTGTGTCCTAGGCCTCAGACGAGAGGTGAACTGTGAGCCCACACTGCTCCAGTCCCCCTCTGCTGTGGCCTAGAGGCAGGCTCCTGTGTCCTTGGCAATAGGGGTTTAGTTTAAGGATTCAGATGCCCCATGACCTGGACCCTACAAGAGATTGTCTGTAGGACAACTGGCTCACCAGAGCCCCCTGGCTCCCAGACCCCACTTCAGAGGCATCTTCTCCTGCCAAGACATCAGCTTCACTTTCAGCCATTTCTGTCCCCCGCTCTGCCTATTCTTTCTGTACTTGGTAACTTCTGTTTACTCAGTTGTACTTCCTCCGCTCTCTGAACTCTGCATGTCAGGACGTTTCAGTGCAGCTTCCCTTAACCAACTCAGAGGCAATCTCATGGTGAACTCCTGGTTTGAGTCGGGA